GGACGGACGGACGGACGGACGGACGGACGGACGGACGGACGGACGGACGGACGGACGGACGGACGGACGGACGGACGGACGGACGGATGGAAGGAAGGAAAAGCACATTCAAGAACTGTTGCGATACAGCATTGTAGTCTAAAATAAATTACCATAGGCCTTCGCAGTGCTTCACTGCTCGGGGCCTAATAAAATTATTCACTTTAATTCTTTGTTTTATGCTACTTGGTTAATTGGGTGGGTGGTATATTTATTCATGCATCTATTTATTCAAAACAACTTTAAAGTTTAGATAAGGACTGCAAACAAAATGTTACTTTTATTCAAGATGGTTGTTTGATCTTCTAAAATGTGTTACATGACATTTAAAGACATTTCTCTCTGGATGGGGAGTGGCGGCCAGACGTTACAGAAGGCGAGCCTGCGATCGGAAGGTTGCTGGTTCGACTCCCCAGATCGACAACATCAAAATGTGGTTGGGAAAGGTGAAGCACCCATATCTGCCTCCACCCTCATTTGCCCCACCCTGGGCCGCTGAGCAAGGTCCTTAACCCCCACAAGCTGCCTCCCGGGCACCCCAATGAGAGCCCTGCTCCACACAGAGGGCTGTCGTAGCTCGGTGGTTGAGTCAGGAAGGGCATCCCGCGTAAAAACAATTGCCAAGTAGCAAAAAGAAGGACACAATAAAATGAAAACCTCTCTTTTAATAAGTCAACATATATTTTTAAACTATTTTCAAAATAAAAGCCTATAATCAGCCTTTAAAAGTAAAAGTCTTCATAACCTTCCTTTGTCAATGACGCACACAGACAGTTTTAAACATAGATATAAACACACATATATATATATCTATGGTTTTAAACGTGAAGGTTTAACCCGGGATGCGCGCCGCCTGCGTCACGTGACCTTGAGTCAGCCCCTTCGACGCGCGGGTCTCCTCCTCCTCCTCCTCCTGCGGGGTGAGTGGGCAGGACGCGCTCCTTGTCGCTGGTGTCAAACGGAGTGGGCAGCCCTGAGGACTTTATAAACACCGAGCTCCCACTCAGCGGCATTTCGGTCAGAAAGGAGCAGGAAGCGTGTTTCTGTGGAAGTCCTCGTCCGGTCGGTGAGTTTGGAGTCTTCTCATTGGTCAGGAGGATTATTAAAGCTCCATCCTGATTGGCTGCCGATTATTTCTAGTATCAAACTGCAAGCGTGCTGTTGCCGTTCTATAACTAGAAATTGTGTGTAAATTCGTTAACAAGTAATAAAAACAGTCAATATTTAATGCATGCGCACATTTTTTTTTAAATAATTAAATTAGGCTTGCATGAAAGTTCTTAATAACCCTTTAAAACGCATGTCTGAACATGGATCACCTAACCTTTTTTATTTTTTAAAATTCAATATGTTCACTGCAGCTTGTGCACATATTCCTGTATATAAGTTAAAATTTTAATATTTCAGATTACTGCTGTCCATGTGCTCCATGACAGCAACCATTAATCCTTCTCTTCACAGCTTTTTTTCTGCAACATTGTAATCTATGTTTACCTTTGGAGTTTATTTTAAACATATGCATGTGCATATTTTAATATCCTAAAAAAAAAAATGTCCCTCTCCTGACATGAAGGAATTATGTCACTGAGCTCCATCAAGTCTTTCACCCTGGAGCTGGATGGTCCTGCAGATGCAGCGTTCACGTTTGGGGAGGTGGTGTCCGGCCAGGTGGTCCTGGAGCTCCACAGGGACACCCGAGTCCTCTCCATGAAGGTGCAGGGGAGAGGGGTGGCCACGGCACACTGGCTGGAGAACCGCGGCATGAACTCCGTCTACAACGACTACACCTCCAAGATCACCTACTTCAGGAAGAGACAGCATCTGATCAGAGGTCAGTGAATTTACAGGCATTATGTGAAGTATTACTAACATTTTGTCGCTTCAGATTGATATTTTTGGCATTTTATTTAAGGTTTATAGGAATATTTAGTCTCTGTTCTGTAAAGCGTCTGAGCTGTGTCTTGGATATTATAGTTTAGGTGAACCTGGGAGGAACACCAGATATTTCTGCCAGATAACATAATCTCTGGCATTAAACACAAATCCATTAGTGCAGAGTCCAAATACACTGAGAGAGGGAAATTTTCCCGGTGCGGAGGCCTAAAATCAGAGACAGACACTGTAGCTGAGTAAATAAACTGAGTTAACTTTGGTTAATGTTTCATTGGATGTGTTTTAGTTGGAAAGGCTTCTTGTTTTGGTCAAACTGGAAGTTGTTAGATGGAAAAAAATTCTAAACACTTGGGCTGATATAATATTGGATGCTGAAAATGCCATGTAAATATTTGGTATTTTTACCAACTATTTTTAAGGATTGACCTGTTGTTAACTATATATCAACTTGTTAACTGTTCTGATGCTTTGTCTTGTTTGAAGTTAATGAAAAGCTTTTAAAAATTAACAAATGCGTCGTTACGGGGAAATGGCTGCTCGCACAGGAAACGACTCGATATGAAAACTGAAACAAAAACTGAAATTGTGACCTCATTCACAAACTATACCAAGATATATTTTTCTTGTGCACATGGTTAGTGTCAGTGTGCGTCCTGCAAGATCTTAAACGTTTGTCTAATGTTAGACATTTAAAATGTATTTTTAGTCCTTTATGAGCAGCTTTGTTTTGATTACAGTCCTATAATTGGATTTTGCTTTGTTGGAAAGTATGTTTTTTTTATCTTGTTTTTAATTATGTTTATTTTTACAAAATGTATATCGATATGTTTTTCTTAAAATTGTTTAACCATGCAACAGTAAACATACGATACATAGAAAAATACAAAAGGTTAAAAGTTGAAGAGAAGGAAATGAGGAGAAAGTTAGGTGAGATAGGAAGGAAGGGGGGGAGGAAATGGAAGTGTGGGTTTATTTTTAAAAAACGCAGACCGTGTCACCATAGCAACAAGAAAAACAACACGTGACTCTCAGTGGCCCCGCCCCTTCGCCCTAATCCATCCAGCTGCTGCACTTTCCTGCACTTTTATGCAAAACATAAGATGTTTTTCTCTGGGTTTTTTTTTAGTCAGTCCTCATCTTACTTGAATATTTACACATGATTAGGACTTCCTTCTTAGATTTTTTTCCTCAAACTTTGCTTTATTTCTTCAAAAATCCTTGAGAGAACTTCCATTTGAAAATGAACCCCTCTTTTTGCTTTTATATTGATGTTTGTAATACAACACTGTGGACTCAGCAGCTGTTTGGTTAAACACGATAACATGAATGAATTAATGCAGTTTTCTGTGCACCAGCATCGGGTTAATCACACAGAGGGAGTGAGGTCAACCGATGTTCTTATCAGTGTTTCTCCAGACTGCTCTGGTGCAGCTGATCTGCTCTCTGCCACCAGCAGATGGTGCTTGAATTATAGTGTTTATTCCACTAATGAGAACTACTTCAACTTGAAGCCATGATTGAAAAACATATGCCAAAGGAAACATTAAAAAGTTAGCATTTTATAAAACTGAATCTACAAAACAATAACAAAGAAAAATGTCTGTTTTCTTAGATGTTGCACAAATATTCAGGACAAACTGATGATCTTGTGATATTCCTGTGTTATTTCTGCAAAAATCGATGCAAATATCACCTGTGGCAACAAATTAAAGTGTAAAACAAATTTGAACGAATCCTTTAATTATTTCCTCCGTTGCAAAAAACAACAACAACAAAAAAACATCTCTGTCCCAGTTCAGGCTGCAAAAACATCCTGATTTTCTTGCAGGTTTCTGCCTTAGTGTGGCCTGTTGGTGGCACCAGAGAGCCCTTATCTAAAGGAACAAAGGAATAAACAAGTGTGTTTTTCTCAGAGCAGACTTGATTTTAGCCTGAAGACACTTCCACTGGGAACAGAGAGTGCATAACCCCTTCGAGTTGGGTTTTTAGCAAAGCAGAGTTTTGGATAATTTCACTCTGAAGTTGGCATTGTTGAGATATGTTTTTTAAACCATTTAAAGTAAGTCTGAAAGATTAAATGATTTATGCAAATAACAAAAAGGGCTATATTTTGCAGCTTTCTTGTACACAACAGCTTGTTCTCTTGAATGGTTGGAGTAGCATAACTGTTTTTTTCCACTTTGGAAGCGTCCCAACTTTGTGTTACAAAATGTTCAAAAAGACATGAACGCTGTGAAGTAAACAACTGTGACCTGAGCTCTGCCAGACTGAGGCATGCACAGTAAGCCTGTTTTCTTCCAAGATCCTGGAACCATCAATCATCACCCTGTTTTCCTCTCCAGCCTCCACACCCAGTCGGCATATTTATGGTGCTGCATTCACGCTCGCCCCGGTAACGTCGCGTCATGGTGGCACTGCGAGCGACTTGCTTTTGGTTTCATTCTTTTCAAAGCAGCTGCGATTTCTTGTAAATGTTGCGATATGAGAAGCGTGCTTTAAATCTGCTGCGTTAACTTGTAGAAGTGTAGAAAAAAAATGTTTTGGAGCAAATTTTTATATAAAAAAAAAAAAATCAAAGTAAAATAGCCTCCTCTATTTTTACTATTTTTTTTATTTAACACATCACAATTTGCCTTTTTTTTTTTTTTGCTCTCTCTCTAACGCCTAAAATGTTTCACCTTTTCATATTTACGATGCAAAACCTCAGTGGTGTTTTTGGTTAATAACTCTTATTACAACTTTGGATTCTAAAACTTCGGAGCCAGGAAGAAGTTCCTGAACGCACCGCCCTGCCTCTCCGGGGCCTTACATAATATTAAATTTTGAAGCCCCGCCCACCGCCTCAGCCTCCAAATAGGGCTGCCGTCTTTTTGTGCTCCTCAGTTTAAGCTAGTCGCACGAGAGTTGAACAACCTACGGGTCCATGCTAGCCCATTTAAACGCTCTGCAAAACTAAAAGGAAGGAAGCCACTTGGGTTTTGCCTCTTTGGAAGATTCGCCCAACCCGCAACAATGATTTTTGACAAGTTGAGAAAGTTTGACATCGTCTTCGACTCCCCGGAGATGGACTGTCCTCCCGTGTTCAGTAGCGGGGACGTGGTGTCCGGGCGCGTGGTCGTGGAGCTCTCCGGGGAGTCCAAGGTGGACTCCCTGAAGCTTCACGCCGAAGGTTTCGCCAAAGTTCACTGGACCGAGTCCCGGTCGGCCGGCTCCAGCACCGCATACACCCAGAACTACAGCGACGAAGTGGAGTACCTGAACCGCAGAGAGGTGCTGCTGCAGGCAGGTCAGTCCTCCAGAGGCTCGGTGGTGGTGATGGTTGCAGGTCTGAAGTCCAACTCCCCATCCTCAGCAACCAGCATTAAAGCAACATATAACTGCTGATTTCTTTCAGCAGAGTTTTAGTGTCAGAGTGCTTTTTAGTCAAAGGTGCTCCTTAGACTTATGGGTCTGTAAACTTATTGTTCCTCCTCACCCTGCATGCATCTGAAACATGAATTAAACTAAAGTTTGGCTTGCTTTTATGTTGCATTGAAGATGTATATTAAATTAAAAAAATATATATTTTACTTCCTTGAAGAACACAAGCAATGAACAGTCAATGATTTATAAGAGCTGACTTGGCGTTATTCCTGCTCAGCAGCTGTTTCATTGTGGAAACATCTGTTGAAGCCAAAGGGACTCTCATCGACCCTGTCCTCCTCCTAAGTAGACCCTGGGTTGTTTTTCTCTGCAGTGTGGGGGGGGAGCAGCTTCAAGTTTCTCTTTATCCATTGAACACAAAGCTGTTTTGGTTTAAAGGGTAGACCGGAAGCTCACAGCCGGAGCTTTGCCAGGTTTATGTTGTTTTCCTGCTCGTTAGACACAACTCGGATAGGGTTTACTTGGTAGTAGGAATAAATTGGGGAAAAATCCAAATAACAAAAAAAAAAAAAGAGTGTTGAACTTTAACACGTGTTCTCAAACCTGTGCTGCTAGGGTTAAAACAGAGCAGTTCAAACTGGCTGTGTGTTGTAGCTGGAAGCAAACTTGTTGAGGCATCTCCTCGGAGCCAAAACAGAAACTACCTGAGTGCAGGAGACGACGAAGAGATCTGTGCAAGAATTACCAGTGGCAATTTTCCCACTAGCAAGGAGGAAGACCCAGAAGTCGCTGGAGGAATTGTGTGTTTCCTCGGCCTGAGAACGACTCTGGTTCCCCCAGAAAGAGCTGGAAAGTCGCTGGAGAGAGGGATGTCTGGGTTTCTCTCCTGGACCTGTTGCCCCTGTGACCCGTCTATGGATACGCGTTAGAAGATGGAGAAGGATACTATAACGTGCCAAATTTCTGCCTCAGTGTCGTCGGCGTTGGTTTTGCCGTTTTGTGTGCAGAAACCTGCTGCTGCTTGTGATTATATGAGTCACGGTGCTGGATTGATAGCTTTATTTGCGTGCTATAAAACTTTGCTGCGCTTCATGAAACCCACGTGACACCAACATAAATAGACCAGTTCCTAGGAATTTGTTTTGCACTCCCTGAACTCTAGCTCAACTATATAATGAACTTCACAGAGCTAAAGCAAAAGATTTGTGACTTAAAATGTTTTGTTTTTTGCGTTTCTCCTCAGATAATGGTGAAGTGACGGTCCTTCCTGCCGGCAGACACGAGTATCCGTTCAGTTTCCAGCTCCCCGAAGAGACTCTGGTTACGTCCTTCGAAGGGAAACATGGCAGCATCCGTTACTGGGTCAAAGTCAAGCTTCACAGGCCGTGGTTCACCGTCAAGAAAATCAAGAAGGAGTTTACAGTTATTGAGCCCATCGACATTAACACACCCGCTCTTCTGGTGCGCGTCTCCTCTCTCCTGTTAAATCCTGTGCAATTATTTTTAAAGGTTTTGAAGCATGTTCTGATTTAGCTTTATGACTTTCAGGCACCGCAGGCTGGAACAAAGGATAAAATGGCACGAGCGTGGTACCGCAACTTCGGACAGGTTTCTGTGACTGCGAAGATCGACCGCAAAGGCTACACACCAGGTAAGAGTCTTAAAGCGCATATAAACACAATGTTTGCGTGTCCATTAAAGTGTCTACAAGTATCAACGTGCTGTCTTTCCCTGCAGGAGAGGTGATCCCTGTGTTCGCAGAGTTTGACAACTCCACCTCCAGATCAATCATGCCCAAAGCCTTCATCACTCAAACGCAGACGTTCATCGCCCGAGGCACCATGAAACAGAAACGCTCGGTTGTGGCCACTTTGTGCGGCGACCTTGTGAGTGCAAGAAGTCGCGAGACGTGGCACGGTCGCGCCATCAAGATCCCCCCTGTGGGTCCGTCCATCCTTCAGTGTCGCATCATCAAAGTGGAGTACATGCTGAAGGTGAGCTCAGGCTGCAGCTGCATACCTGCTGATGATATTGGAGTCTGCACACATTTCACTAAAACTTCCTCTTTTCTTCCTGAAGGTCTGTGTTGATGTTCCTGGGACATCCAAGCTGTGTTTGGAGCTGCCGCTTGTTGTAGGCACCATCCCTCTCCATCCCTTCGGCAGCCGGACGTCCAGCATCAGCAGCCAGTACAGCGTCAACCTGGAGTGGCTGCGCATGGCCATCCCCGAGCAACCTGAGCGTAAGTGTCCTTTAATACTGACTGAGACGCAGTAGATTTGTATGAGGGCTTAATTAGTACAAAATAGGAGCCTCTGGCACTTAATTTTTTTAAAAGGAGAAATTCTACTCTGATCACGAGGGAAAAAATAAAGCTGGGTCTGATGCCAGAGGTTATGAAGTTTTAACAGCAGCCACGATCCATCTGCTTAGAGTTTCAATCTTTTTTATTAGTCAGACCAGTGGTATAATAATCTTGCCTCTTTCCCCTGTAGCTCCTCCAGATTACAGCTCTGTGGTGACAGAGGAGGAGGCAGAACAGCGGAACAACGCAGTGGTCCCTCAGCTGGCTGAAGACCTGAGTGGGATCATGGAGCGACCCCTTATGGCTTTTGTTCAAGAGTTTCGTTTCCGACCTCCACCTGTGTACTGTGAGGTGAGTCCATGAGAACTTCGCCGAGCTGTATAAAAACAACAGCATATAGGCGGATTATTGGCGAAAAGCTCTGCTTACGTTCTCTGATGTTGTTTTTCCTGCTTACAGATTGACCCCAACCCTCAGCCCTTCAACATGAGACCTCGCTGCATGACGTGTTGAACCATGAGCCCTGCCTGAGCGACGAGCAGCGTCATTACTGGAACAAACCCAAGAGATTTGTCTTCTCCTGGATTATTCCTCTCTGGTGAATAAGCACCTGGTCCCAGCCTGGGTTGTGGAGACGGACTGGAGCGCCGCAGAGAGGTCAGACGACGGAGCTCACAGGAACTGAGTGTGCGCAGAGGAGCTACAGCTTCGTTCCCGGTCCAGCACAGTGGACGTTTTGGGGTTCTGCTGAGAGGGAAGCATCTTCTCTGCATCAGTTCCTGTCCTCCCCAAGTGATTTATTTTGTTTTGCTCCCAGGAAAAGGGAGCGGTAAAATGCCTCCCAATCAACGATTCCCTCAAGTGAAGACTTTTTGAGTTGTAAAAAGTTTGGGACATGTTAGGGGGTAATATCACTTGATATTTATCAGGCGGCGAGTAAGCGCTTTTGATAAGATGACATGCCCACTGTCATCTTTGAATGGTGCAAAGTGAAAAGTGCAATTATTGTACTCTGTGTCTAACTTGCCTAGCGTCAGAGTAGAAGGTAAATATCTACATTGCTATGCATTGTGTGACTCAGCAGCAGTGTGCCTCTGAAATATACTGTTAAGCACATACTGTATCTAAAGATGTGACTTTGGAGCAGACGAGGTAAATAAAATCAAGATGTACTTTATGCATGCAGGTAACATTATGCAAAAGGGAAATAACTTGTGCCTTAATCTGCAGCTTATGATTGCATGAGAGTTTTAGGGTGTAGTCCTCTCACAAAGCTGAATGCATACTGAGAGATGTCGGAACAAAAACGGTGGCTTTGTAAGTTGAACTTTAAAAGAGCGTTGTATAAATGCAAAGCTCAGCACTGAAACATAAAGAAGCTGCCATGTTGGATTTAAGCAAATGGGGTGATGCAGTTTGCTACACAGAAGTGCTCTCCCAGCTAGAAAATATAAAAGCAGGGGGAAATGGAGAGCTCCGTGCAGACAGAAACCTTTGAGAAGAGCCAGACGCCTCAGTGCCGTGAGGTCAAGCCTTAAGCTGGAGATGCCACTGAACTGTACGAACAAAGAACATTCCAAAAACTGACTCGAGGATCATGTTTTCTCCTCAACTTCCAAAAAGAAAACTCTTTATCAGTTCAGGGTCAGGTGTGCGATGAGTGGCACACCTGAGGGTAAAGACTACAAATGTATTTTTATATAAATGCAACTGTTGATTGTGAAACATGCCAAAGTTTTGTATTTGTTTTTCCTAATAAAAAAAAAAGAAAAAATAATATCCGCCTTCAGTTTTTCTTTTAAAACAAGATTGTCGGAGCACAATATGCAGACGAATAGCGGAGGGTCTTTGCTTCACACGCTGCATGCCAGAAGACTAGAACATGATGTTCAACTCTGCAGAGTTCACTGCAGACACGAGTTTCACTCTAGATCAAAACATTAATTACAGACTGAAGTTCTGCCTGCGACAGTGTAAATATTGCACAATTATCCTGGGAAGAAAGAAAAAAAAAAGCTGGATTTCATCCATCACCTTTTGTACAGTTTGTACTTTTGTTTACATGAATATTAAACATCTATTAAGATGTTGTATGGGAACAAACGAGCAACGTTGATTATGAACGTCACCAAAACAAACTTTCTGGGGAAATTCTCAAGGAAGTATTAACCAATCTGTTGAAATACAGACATGCTGAGTACCCATTGATTCATACTTGGAATAGATTAAATTCAGCAGTGAAAGAAGAACCTTATTAAAATCTTTTGGTTTTGACATTGTTTTGTTTGTCAGAGTGTCTAACCAATGAGCAAGTTTTAAGTTTAAGAGTAAACCTTTGCTCCCAGTCTTAAAGAAAATCTGTTGCAGGCAAGTACTTTATTGTGGACTGGAAAAACGAATTACATGTATCAATATTCCTTAATAAATCTGATTTTGTCAAAGGCCTAAAAATGGCAACTGGCTAACAAGGCAACTGAACTTTCCTTTTTTTATATTTTAGGATGTTAAGTAGAAAAAAAAAAACATGGGGGGGTCTTATTCATCACCTACAGTTTCACAATCATTCATGCCTTAATTAAATCAGCTGACTGAAACTCTCCATGTTGCTCTCCCTGATCCACAACTCCCGAATGACAACAAACCCAAACGACTCCCGAGGGGGACGAGTTCGTCAGAGATTCATTCGTGTGACCTGAACGATCCTGTTAGTGGGAATGCTCCAGCAACCTGGAACTCCCAACCACTTAATGTGACCTGGAGAAACTTCAGATGAGGAGGAAACAACTTCAGGACACAAGAAGTAAAGTCCAGTCGCCTTCGGTTCAACTCGTGGCATCACCATGTCCTGGATGACGAAGACTCTAAACCACGGGGGTCCAAAGTGTGGCCGAGGGCCATTTGCGACCCTTTAAGTGATTTTGTGCGGCCCACAGCTGCAGTTTAAGACTTGAATCATTTTGGCCAGCAGGCTTAAGAGGTCGATGCAGACTTTCTGCAAATTAGTTGGTAATCCTTTATTACATAATGTTTAGGTTTAACAGAAAAACAGATGAAAAACAATCTTCTCAAAATGAGCAATATTAAGCAAAATACAAACCTTTGACTGTAATCTTTATATTTTCACTTCATGGTACAAAGCAACAAAAACCTTTACTGATTTCTACCATAAATGAGACTTTTGGATAATAATTTATAAAACTTGGCTAAATATTAGTTGATAAAATAATCAAGAGAGAAACTGGACATTTTAAAATGAATGTAGCGTGTCATCTGCATACGAGTTGATCAGCTTTATCATATCTTTCATGAATCTGTTGTAGCGACTGAAAATGTTATGAAAATATATGAAAATGTTTGGACACCCCTCTAAACCAACAAAATCCAAGATGGGTCATGTTGGCCTCTAACTAAAATAAAATCTACTAACTCAAAAGTTCTTCACTCATTTTACAGATTTAAAACACATTCTGACCCGTTCTTTGGTCAGAATTCACAGAATGATTGTTGCTTTAGCCTAAATATTCTCAGAGATGGTCTTCTTGCACTGACTCTTGAATTCTGGTTCCGGTTCACTTCACTTAACGTCTCATTCTGAAGAATTTAATTGTAAGAACAGAAAAAAATACAATAATTTTGGACACATTTACCACAAACATCACACATTAGGGTTGGCTTTACACCCAAAACATTTCATCAAGACCCTCATTTATTTTTACATAATTCATCTTTTACAAAATAGTTTATTCTTTTGAAGTATGTTATTTTTTGTGATGGACTGGAGATCTGTCCAGGGTGTACCCCTCTCAAACAGTGATGGCTGGACATGGGCACCTGTGACCGCCGTGACCCAAAAACGAGGAAGCGGGTAAAGATAATGGATGGATGAAGTTATTTTTTAGTTTTAACCTTAATGTACTGATGGACATTTGAGTGTGCAGTTCTGGTTCTTTAGTGTTCAGAGCTCAGTTAAGATTATTGGTAATTTAAACACTGTTAAAGACATTATCCAGTTGTTGTCAAACAAGCTCATCCGGTAAAGTTCGTGATTTTAATTACAGCTCTGGGTTCTGTTTTAACGTTTTCTACACAGCTACATTTTTAGAAACCTAAATATCTGGTTCATAAATAAAACAACAACTTTGTCAAACATGAAAAAAATTAATAAAAATAAAAAAACAAGTGTAACAACTCTAAAAAAGTTAAATCTGGTCCTCTGGACATTCAAAAAAAAACCAAAAAAACAAAGCAAATCAACAAAAAATGTAGAAACGTTTCGTCTCTCATCCAAGAGACTTCCTCAGTCTGAGGTGCTGTATTCAGCTCAGTCTCTTAAATAGCACCTTCTTAGAGTGGATCAACCAGTTTGCTGCTGACAACCAAAACCAGCTGATCACATGCTCAAGAAGGACCATCAGCCTAACAATGGATCATTAGCACACTGATGGCTGTTTACTATTCACAGAGGGCTGAGTGATACTAGCAATCACAGCATTGTAAGAGGGGGACAGTTGAACCCGGAGGCCTCCACCCCTGTTTAACGATGGACGATTTCTTTTCAAAAAGATGGCCTCCTTTACTCCTCTCTCAAACCATCGTTCCTCTCTGTCCAGGA